TCAATGGTGATGTTGAATAAATCAGTTGGGGAAAATCCCTAGCAGGACCAGGGGGTGTTATTGTTGTAGAATAAGTGGTGTTAGTATTGTGTTCATCGGTATGGCTTTGTTTGTTCTAGTGTTAGGAGAAAATGCGTAAAGTTAAGTGATTTTTAAAAAGGAGCTATGAACATGTCAAAATGGGTTGTGTTTAAAGCAAAAACTGGAGGTCCCTCTTTGTTCAGAAATTTTAGTTTATTAGTAATAGTCTACAAATGCCAAAATGGAAAAGAATTTTGATAGTAAGTGTTTAAACTAGCTTCAGCTTTCAGACTTGATAGCAAGCAAAAATGAACTGCAGACGTTTCAGATCTAAATGCATTTTAATAGTGAGTTGAACTACCTGCAGTACCATTTTAACTAGAAAATTGATTTTTTTACTGATGACCCCTAGACTGGATCCTTCAGCTCTAAGCAATGCTTGGCAGAAATTCTTTGCATGTATTAGAGAAGTTTGATTAGATAGCAGTTACTCCTTCCCTCTGCCCCATGAGTATGTAAATGTAGTCCAGTAACCTGTTGCCAGTAATTAGTGCTAGTTTTTGGAGGTATGCCAGAGGAGTTGTAGGATAATTTAACTACAGTGAAAATGCTTTTAATCCATGCTGACTTAATAAATTGGGCACAGGTATATTCTTGCCAAAGCTGGACTGTTGTACTCTGGGAATTCTGGTCCTGCGTCAGGGTGTGGAGAAACACCAGTGCAACAACTTTTGTCAAATGTGCAAAACCTCTTTTTTTTAATCACTTCTTGATTCAGGAATTGTCGTCCAGGTTTTCTGCCTGGCCTGCTAAGCTTTCGTTAAGACTAGCCAGTAGTAGTTGGGCAGAGAGGAGCTCAGCAAGTGTGTAGCGATGGTTACCCCACTTCCTATGCCCTGTGGCTCAGAGGATGTCTGAGGCAATATCTACACTTACAGGTTTTGATGAGCTCGATCAGAAGCAAAAGGTGTTGGTTGTACATTGTGATGGCAACAGGTAGGACAGAACAGGTTGGGCTGGTTATTTAGCTGCCCCACAAAAGCAGACTTCTCCTGTCTAGAGAAGTCTAGACATGCAGCTACTGTTCGCAATAGCAGCTGTACTTTGAAGTGTACACCAGTAGGTTAAGAATGGCATTCTGAATTCGTGGAATATTTTTCAGTTGTTGCCACAATGTATAATAAAAACATGGTTTTGTTACACATCAGCATGTCAAGTATTGGTAAAATTGGGAACTCTTACTCAATAGAGCCTTTAGCACCCTGAATCAAGCCAATAATGATGATATTGTGATGGTTAGGTGAGTGGTTTGGGGTATTTTTTTGCTTTTTAGGTAGGGTTTTGGAGTTTCTTGGTTTTGTTTTGGTGTTGGTTTTTTTTGGTTTTTGAGTGGAGAAGTTGCATGTGTAGTTTCCCTTGGTTTGATTTTCTGCACTTGGCATTGAACGCAGTGTTTCTGTGCTGGATGAAAACAGTGAGATCCCTAAGAATGTACTGACTCTGCAGCTCTAGAAAGAGAGGTAGAACTGAAATCCAGTGGAGTTGGCTGGCAATATGGCACTATCTGATCGGGTTAGCCTGGAGGGAATGGAGTTCTTGGTGTTCGGCCGGGTGAATCAAACAGTGTTGGCAGCTTGACAAGAGGCTGTTCTCTTCTGTGTGTCTCCTTCAGCCTCTGGGCTGGGTGAGGCTTTGCACAATGGCTTGGACCAGTTTAGCAGCTTGCTGTTACAGGAAGAGAGAGAGTGGTCCTCTCTGGGTTTCCTTTTCTGCTCCATTTCCTTTGTTCTGTCTTGCATTCAGACTAAGAGTATGTGATGAACTAATTCAGCTTACGTGGCAGAAAATTCAGTCTATCAAAGCTGTATTTTCACAAGCTAGGAAACTGAATAGCCTTACTGTGCACTTAACTGACTTTCAGAGCTGGGCTGAGGAGTTGGGGTGGAGGAAGGAAGAGCAAGGCTCTCCCCTTGGGTAAGTTGAGGAGATGCAGCTTTATAATAGGGCCATGGTGAATTACAATTCCTGAATGGAAGATGGCAGCAGTGTTACTTCTTTCTTTTAACCAGAATGGCTGTAAAAACTGTAACATGTCTTCTGTCCTTGAGACTGATCTTTACCAGATGTGTTCTTTTTCTCTCATAGGTGATCTGTGAAGATTTGGGAATTGGAATTGTAGATTAAACATGCACAAATCAAGCTGAAGGCTTTTGGTTTTGTTCAGTATGGGTCCTGATCTTTCTCCTCAGATATCCTGCTGTATTGCAAAACTTGATTTGAGAGTTTTAAAAGTAGAATGTCTCTATAATTGCATGTGTTTGTGTGAAGAATGCATTGCCTGAAACTGTCCATTATACTTCCATTGGACCTGAAGCTACTTTTTACCATCTGAAAAATGGTAATGATACTGCATTTTTAAATAAGCATATCCTTATTAATTCAGAAGAGCAATAATTTGAGTTTCCATCATTTTATTAGTCTGAAGCTTAAGTCCAAAACTTTGAAGCCAGTTACTTGTACTATAAACATAACTGCAGAGAACCATTTGAACTTGCTAGTCTGTCAACAGCTGTTCACAATCGATTGTCTTTTCTTGTAACCTTGTACTAACTTGGTTGCATTGTTTGGATAAAGCACTGGGCTATGTCTTTTCCATTGTGTATGTACAACTGTAAGAATGTCAAGTTATGCATTGTTGTTGTAACTTAATGGCTAAAAGCTCAAATTCTGTAATAAATTATACAGACCTTTTAAAAAGCAATGTCTGAGAAGCTTGAGGGTTTTCTTTCCTACATGTAGGTAAATGGATGAGACATTCAGCAGTAGCACAGCACAAAACAAGCTTAACTTCATGCTGGGTAGCTAAGGGGGAGATCCTTTCAGCATGTTGGGGAGTTTTCCCCATGTAACCAATACCTGGCTGTGGTGGGTTAACCTTGGCTGGCTGCTCGATGCCCATCCAGCTGCTCTCTTCCCCTGTCCGTCCTATTGAGGAGGGGGGAAAATAAGACGGAAAAACTCATTGGCTCAAGAAAAGAAACAGTTCCCTTCACAGGCAAAACAAATGTGATCTGATGAAGATTGAAACTAATTTATTGCCATTAAAAAGTAAAGTAAGATAGCAAGGAACAAAGACAAAACTAAAACTATCCTTTTTCCTAGGCTCAACTTCACTCCTCACTCTTCTCCTTTTCCTTCTCCCTTCCCTGGGCAGGGAAGGTTGGTGTCAGTCCATAACACTTGGTCTCTGCTCTTCCTTCCTTTTCCTCTGCTCTCATGAGCTCCCTCCCAGGGGCTGTAGTTCCTCAAGGAGGATCCATGCAAATCCTCTCCCTGGGCTACAGACTGCTCCAGAGTTATCACAGAGTTGCCACCAGCCTGGCTGGGCCTGGTTCCTCTCCTCACAAAGGCCACCCCACAAGTTTGTTTTCATCAGTGCAGAGGTCTCCAAAATGAATGTATTACAGAAGTACCTATGATAAAATCATAAAACTGTTTCTTGATAATTTTTATACTTACAGGACCAATTCAGGGATTGATTGATACAACTCAAGCAAATACTGTGAAGAGGCAGAACAGCTAGGCTTTTGCTGTAGTATCATAGTAGCAACCTCCTCCTCTTTTTGGCAAGGCTTAAACTCTTTTTAAAGTAAATCATAAGGTAGATTGCAATGCCTTGAGGCCACAGTAATCAGTTTTCTGATGGAGCCTGTTACTTTGTCATAAGCTGTAGTACTAAGTTTCAAACAAAAGCCTAAAATCTATATAAAGGGTTTTTTTAACCAAGTTTTTGAGGAGGGGTACTAGTACATAAAAGATAGTAAAATTGTACTTCACCTTCACTAGCTGTAAAGCATTAAGGTACAAGTTTAGTGGACAAGCTAGGTTAAGCCATTGTTAGCAGCAACACTTACAGCAACTGTCTTGGGTTTTAAAAGAAATGTCTAGAATTGGAACAGTCCCTAAATAAATGCTACACCTTAACTCTGGGAAGCTATACAAGTCTAATGTATAGAGAACAATGAGTAGAGAACACTTCTTCCAGGACTTCTTACCAAAAGATTATGCTGCATGAGATGAGAGATCGATGGGATTTTCAATCCAAGCAATTTAGCAACTTAAATTGCTTGGAAAGGAAATGCCAAGACAGTCTTGACCTTGTATTATTGATCTTGTACTTCATAAAAATTTGAGAAGCAGATGCAGATTTAAAGCAGCTTTCATTTATCAAGCAACATTAAATTAGAATTAGCTAGCTTTTCAAGTTACTTTCCTTTTCAGTCTCAGGGCTTAAATAACAGCTGCTATTTCTGCTATCACCTTAAAATAATACTTAGCAGGCTCCTTCCCCAGTTTCCTCAACACCTGGTATCTAACACTTGAATGGTTCTCTGGCTGTATGCTTTAGAAGGAAGAGGCTAGTCACAAAGCAATGGCCTATGCAAATTCTGAAGTGAGAAGATGCTCGTGACTTGGATGTTTATGGAAGAAAGTAACAGTAAAACATTCTTACAATAATGAAATAGGTGTGGTATTTGAACTACTGATGCTGTGAGGCCAGTGTGATCTTGAAACAAGAGAGTACCACTCTGAGCCTACAGCACCTAACACTTCATTTCTGCCACGTAAAGGTAACTCTCTAGCTTTTTCTAGACATCAAGACAGACCTTCCCGTACTCACCAAAACCAGCATGCATCATTAGGAGTTGTATCCAGCTTCTAGAAGGTTTTACACAGTCAAGAAAGGGGAAAGTTACTTACCTTGATACAAGTCGACTTTAGTTATTCACAAACGGTTTTGGACACAAAGACAGTGAGTGTCAGACAAATACTTAAATTTGCTGTGAAATGGCAAGTATCATTTACATTCTCTCTGGAATTAGAACCTGTACTTTGGGATATGCATATGACATACAGTTTATCCTACAGTCAAAACCAGCTAAGTGTAAGGCCTAACACACTTCGCAAACTCAAGTATGTGTATCAGAAAAAGCATTATTTATTGTTTACATGCTTAAAATTGCTATTTATAATGTATTACATCATTAATCCAGTGATTTAAGTTTAAAATATACAATTAATTGGTATAGAATGCTGGCAGGGTGTTGGGGTTTTTTTTTGCCAGTGACACAGTGGTTTTATTTTGATGTTTTTGTCTCTGATGGATTTTCCCCAGTGTCTAGTGTCTTCAGCAATCTGAAAAGGCCAGCTGCTTCTCGTATCCGACTGAACTCAATGCAGAATGCTTGCACTTCTATAAACAAGTCCTGTACATTAATAATTTTGTTTCTGATTAAAGACTGAAGAAAGACACAAACAAGACGTACCAGGCGGTTCTGAAAGAGAAGAGAAACAGTTTCATAATCCAAATAAATGTTTGCAACCAAATCAGTTAAAGGATTGTTGGCCCTCAGCAGTACAACTGAGGCATTTCAGGAGCAATTTAGCTTTAGCAGTAATCTTGTCCCCAAGCTTTGCACGTGCCACCCCTACTCTTCCATCTCCCATACTACCACTGGATTTAAAAAATGGACTCCTCTGCTTTATTGTACTGTACTTCTGGATACAGGAGCTTTCTCAAGATTAATCCCATGCACAAATGAAGCACCAGATCTACCTATGCACTGCACTTAATTTCTTTATTGTGTAATCTCTGACTAAAGTCAGAGAGAAGGGATCACAGCTTAAGATGACATCATCACTAGGGTCTTGCTTAGTCTTATTTTCTATGATAACACCATAAAGAAAAATGAACAAGCTTCTCATCTCAAAATTCCCCAGGCACTCCAGATGGGAAATAACAGCAACAGGACTGATCCCAAATTTGCTTTGTGGGGAGTGCTCTGTTCCTGAATTAGCACATGACCCTCTTGCTCTGTCTTAGAAGGAAAGTACATTACCAGGGACACCTAATCCAAGAACGTGCCTCGGAGCTCATGGCTCATTTCCCGCCTGAGCCAGTGAAAAGATGGGATCTCAGAAGTGTTCCTCCTTCCTAAGCGCTGCTCAGGTAACACCCTGAAGAGCACACTGGGAGCTGGGAAGTGGAGAGCTAGGAACTGGCACCTACAATTTGTCATACACAGATCCAGTCCCTAACCATCTGCTTTAAACGGAGTGCATGTTTCCTCAAGAACAAAAGCAGATCTTTATCATTAAAGTGGTCTTATACTTCACATTGAGAGAAAGAGTTGAACCCAAACCTTTCTCTAAAAGCAACTAGATATATATGAATGATGTTTATCAGACAAAACTGCAGGGACTTGATAGTTTAAGTTTCCAAAGCATTTTAGATTATTTGGCACTGAAAATAAGCTATCACAGCAACTGAACTTAAATTTGCTACCTATACCAAGAGAATTCAAAAACTAAAAAAATTCCCTTCACTGCAATCAAAAGGCACCACGTTTTCTCGGCAACACAAATTAGTTGTAAGAGTAACTTTAATGATTGAGGAACATGAAACAAAACAAGAGTATGAATGTAAGATACTGGCTGGCTCCCAGTCTCTGAGGATCATGCCTCCCTTACTTCTAATAGGGAGTGTTTTTGTACCACGCTTTTCAAACAAAACATCTTGTGTCTCAGTTGCTGTGAGGCCTCATATGCAGTATTAACAAGTGTTAGATCTCACAAGCCTTGCATGCTACTTGATGATCAGTATGTGTTCCTTGACCTTCTGTTCTTTTTTTGTCCCATGTGCCTGAAGGAGAGCTGCTATATGCTCTCGGCAACCCCTTACAGCACAGTGTCCCGCTCTTTGGGCATATTCTCAGCTGCAGCCCAGGCCTGCTGCTATTTTCCTATTCTGCTACCAAATGTAACAGGCAGAGCTATTCACCAGGTCACAGATCAAACCACCCATGGGTATCTGGAAGAGTCCCAAAGCAGAGAAGCATCAGCAGCCACCAACAGACAACAAATGGTTAGTCATCATCTGGAAAAGTATTGAGAACAAGACAGAGGGGTTTTTGCTGCTATCTAAACCCACGTTGCACCCCTATCCTGTGTACTACACGCAATTTTCATCTCTGCAGCTTAAGGGTATCGTGGAGCTAGAGAAGGCACTAGAGAAGGACACCAAAAAAGCTTAAGGGAAAGGAACAGCTGCCTTGTTGCAAGAGACTAAAGAGGCTGCAGTCCTTCAGTACCGAGAAGAAAAAGTCGAGGCAGGACTTGGTCAAGATTCACAAAGCCTTGGATAAACTGAACATGGAACTGTTTTTCACCAATGACGTATCCAAGAAAACAGGTTTTACTGGGCACTTGGTGAAACCAACAGATTGGTTTAGGATAGAAGGAAGTACCTCGCACAGCATGTTGGCACACAAGGTTGTCTAAGGTGTGGAAACCTCCCCAGGGGGTAGAGATCCTTGAAGTGGCTACAGCTTGCATGCTGGTACTGAGGAAGTAGGACAGGCTTGGGAGGCAGAGAGTATGGTGTTAGGAAGACAGAAAATAGAAGGGTTTTAGGTCTTTGAGGAGATCTGAGCAGAGAGTATGGTGTTAGAAGACAGAAAACAGAAGGGTTTTAGGTCTTTGAGGAGATCTGCAAGCTGTTGTAGGTCATAACTGAAGGGCAAGACTTCCATGTGAGTTTTGTAACATCACCTCAAAGGTCTGGAAGTGATGGGCAGACTTGTATACAAAAGAAACTTGAAGCTTAAAACTAAGCAGAAGGCAAACAACTAGTACTGGGGGTGAAGAAAAAGCACACTGAGTGACAGATAAACCTTTTGCGTGTAAGGACTAGAGTCATATCAAACTGCAGCTTTGCCAGGGAGAAGTGTATTATGTCTACAGAAAACCAGGGAACAGTAATTACCTGTGAAATCTTGTAAAAAGGTCAAGAAACATCTGTTAAACACTATAAAGAACTGCATAGTGTGTTAGAAAAAAAAAAGTGCCTTTGAAATAAAGGAGCAGTAAGACAGAATAACTTAATACTATCAGCCTTACAAAATCTTGGCACATTACACAGAGCAATATATGGGACCCTTTTTCCTAACCAATTTACTGCAGTACTCACCTGCATATATTTGTCTTTAATCTGTTCACAGGTGGAGATGCAATTGGAGATATAAAGATGAATAAATTCAGGTGGGAGATCAACTGCAGTAGTAAGCCTGTTCAAATTAAAAATATCCAGTGGTTTATAAAGCCATAAATCTAGTGATTCCGTTGGAAAACACAGGAGTTAGACCTGCGATACTACTTTATTCCCAGTCATGTCATACAGAGTTGATTTCTGACAGCTTGCACAGACATATTTCTAATCATTTAAATTTCTTCATTGAGTCCCATTTTTTTTTTTAAACTCTTGACACAGTACAGAAGCCGAGTTAAATTGGTTTCTAGTGTATTTGACACACATACAAACATTCGCTATATATTACACAAATGAGTCAATTATACTTGTTTCCAATTTATGATGAAGCCCCCAAGCTGTCCAAGAACAGAGATTCTTCTGCAATACGCACTGCAATACAATTTTGTTTATTCATATTTGAATTTCAGATACTGAATCTAGATGCTGAACTCCTTCCTTGAGCATACAACTGGAATAACTCCTTTGTTAAAGCAAAAGATCAGTTTCCTTAGTTCTTTCAGATTCAAATTTTAGTCCTAGGAACTGAAACAATATGAATATCTACAGCTCAAATAAGAGAGACCCTGACTAGATGAAAACGTTAACTAGAGATTAATGATCCATGATAGGTCTCAGAAGCTTCTTACTACAGAAGAACTGGAGAGCTATTGCACTGAAGAGTGGTATTAGCGTATTTTTAATGGTTAACAACAAAGCAAGCCTATTTGTGGTTTAATACTGACTACTAAAGTATTTGGCCTGCCACCATTTCTTCATTCAAAAAGCAATACAGCTCTCCTAAGATAACAACATACACTAAATGTAGAACTGCCATAAAGTTAAACCAGAATTTGTCCAAAGTAACTCTAATCAGTCCTATCTCAAGCAGTGAAAGGGGGGGCAATAAGGAAAACGGTGCATGTTTTAGACATTTCCGTTTCATTTTTGTCTTATTTTGAAGTGAAATAAGCGTCACCCTGTTTGCACTGCCAGTCATTTTGCAGTTTGAGAAAAGTTGTTCCTATGGTAGTTACGCTGTGGAAAAACTGGTATGCCTGACTGGTGGCGTAGCTATCCAGACAGGAGTAAAAGCTCTTTTCTTACCATTATTTCTCTGTGTTGTGATCATTAGCCCAACTTCAGGGCAGTAACCGCTGTCAGTCTGCACCAGTTGGGAGGAATTTATTTCAGAAATGTTTCTTTCCTAAATGATATTTAAGGTGCAATTCAACTCTGCTGCACAGAGACTGCTGAACAGGACTGATCTGGTAGTAAGTAATTGCCAAGAAACAGAAGAAAGTTAAGTGGGAGAAATGTACTTTTGTAGTCTGTAGGAATTAGCTGTCTGAGAAGTTTTGCCATTAAAGGGGCTAGCATTCTGTTAAGAAAATGGGTTATACCTATACGCAGGAGTTACCCAATGAAGACAGGGCATGAACATAGAGCAGGATGGCTATTTAACAATACCACCTTTTGTTCACTTAGGCCACATCAAGAATGCAAGTTGCATTTAAGCAGATTCACTGTGTGGCATTAACTTTCTGTGGTGGATTCTCACTTTAACTGCCCTTTGTCCCACTGTAGTCTTCTATCTTCCACACAAGCATAACTCAAGAAGGATCAAAATGAACATTTCCAGATGTCCTTACAGAACACAACTGCTACCTCAGTTGAAAGAGAAGACAGAAGCTAGAGATGAGGCAAATTTTTAGATATGAGAAAAGAATGTGAATTCTTCATCAGGAATGACAGGATTGTGTCCCATTAGAGGGGGTGACAGTCACTGCAGTGACAAAGTCATACACGTTCAGTAACTCGTCATTTTGCAAGTCAGCAACTAAACTTGCAGCTTCCTGGGACATAGAAATTTCACTAGGAAGTACATGGCCTATGTATCTACCAGGAACCTGACGCCTGAATAAAAGTTTAGACACATTCTAGATCTCAGTGACAAACTCCTTAAGTGATAACCATTTTAAATACTATTTCGAGCTGAATGTATCAAACAATTACTAGAAAATCATTTTCTTAAATTATCAACTCCAGCTGAAGTTATCCACAACACGTGTTTCCCAATTCTTTTCAAAATAGAAACACTGCTAACATTAAAGTAACACGTGTTTTCTTTGAATAAGCCTCTCCATTCTTGGAGCAAGGACTGAAAGACTAACTAGCATAGCACCTGTGCAAGAAATGTGCTTTTTACCATACCTAATATGGTAAAATATGGTATATTTTAAATAATTAATATAAAATTGTATTAACTTAAAATATTTAATTATTATATAAAATTATACACAATTAATATAAAATGTAATATATATGCCTCCACCATCACATTTTTCTGCTGGGAAATTGTGGTTTTTTTCCTGTTAAGTTGCAGTTTTGCTACTGCTAAGAGGAAGCTGTTAATATTACAGTAATATTTTAAAATAGCACTGCTGTAACAAGGAACTTAAAAATTGGCAGCATTCTCTGAACTTAGCACTGAAGATGTTTGAGAGATTCAGTTCTTTATTGCCAACCCACAGCTAACTTTACAAACTTAGTCTGGACTAAAATAAGAGCTTTTTTTTCTTTAACTATAGGCACCACCAATAAGGAACTACACAAAAAAGCAAGTAAAGCTTTCATAAAAAAACCCCCAGACTTAGACAGTCCAGTAGTCATAGAAACCAACAAATCCACAGCACTCTCTTCCTCTGAAGGATTAATCAGAGCATACTAAGTCTTATCGTTAAAAGTGTATTAAAAAACCAACACAAACAGCATAGAGAAATTGAAAAGAGAATGACAGTTTGATACTCTTTTCCTTCACTGTGATCTGACTAGTCATTTCTTCAATTCCTGTTACTTTTAGTAGTCTTTGGAATGCATCCAAATACAACCCTGTGGCCAGCCTCACAGCCACTTAATAACTATTCTGTTACTTATTTTACATACTTAAGGAAACGTTCTTAGATTTGAGATACTACTTACCGATTTACGACTTCCATTGAATGTAAGGACATGTCCATGTTGACCAAGACAGAAAAATACTCTGTTATCTGACTAGACTGCATCAGTTTCAGCAACATTTCTATAGCTACTAAAGGATTGTTTTCAACCAGGTCAGGCAATTTGGCAGGAGTGAGACCAATGTGGTAAACAAGTTTGGGATCCTTTTCCAGTTCTCCAAGGAGCTGTAAAGGAAAAAAAAAAAAACAACCCCACACTTTTTTTTTCTCCTTAACTATTCACATTACTGCTTGAAGAAACTGATATAATACATCTAAGCTACAGGAGAATGATAAACCTTTAGATTTAGGCATCCCTATTGCAAGACACTGGAGGTATGATTTAAAATTTCTATGTAAAGGCAACTGTGCCCATGAAACCTTTAATAAGGCATTTAGTAGTCTTTCATCAGTGGGTGGCAAGGAAGGGGGGGGGAAGCCATCAAGAGTTTCAGCCTGCTTTAGTTTCCTGTCCAGCAGAAAGAAACCTCAATTTCAAGTTCATTGTTGTCAGAAAAAGTTCTGCAAATAAAGGACATTTTATAGTGCTTGCGTAATGATTATCAGAAAAGCCCAGTGAAATCAAAGGTAATACCATCAAATTGAGGTGAAAAAAAAAAAAAACACAACACCTCGGTGTTGGCATTTCTGAAATAATTACTTATCAAAAGCTTCCACAGAAGCATGAACAACTTTGTTATAAGAAGATTTTTCCATGCAGAAAAATAGCGGTGCCACTTATTGATCAACTCTAACTATGTCTAGTCAGTACTATGAAGTTTAAAGGTTTCTTCCTTCTTCATACAAACCCAAGTTAAAACTCTTGGGTGTCTACAATTTCAAGTCCTTGGAGTTTCCTGAATCCAAACACAGATCACTTAAAGTGATCCAAGTTTTTTTAAAACACATAAGTTAAGAGCTTGTTAGAAAATCATTTTAGGCAAAAAAGTGCATGATACTCACCTGTGTTTGCTGAGGGGAAGTCAAGGGACTTTTAAAAGCTTTTGCCATGATTCTTTTTATCTCAACTCCCGTGCTGTTCTTAACACACATTGACTTATCCCACTGAATTGTGTGATCTGGCTCTATTGGATTTAACCATGCCAACTCATCCTCACATATATGGAGTGGAGGTGGTGGTCGAATAAACTCTGGTCGAAAGTGACCTAAAAAGGCAACAATGTGAAACGTTTTTTAAGCTTGAGGTATTCAGTTTTACATCAGTACAAAAAGACGACCCCCAAAACCCCAATTTCCTTAAGCTGTAACACTGAGAACGGCGTTATGATCTTACTTGCCTCCCAGACAAACATTTATTTCCGATTTTTAGTGATGCTGTTACATCAGCCTGTTCTTCCTCTTGATTCAGATTACCAAGTTACTAATTCTATGGTCTTTTTTCCTTCTACAGGAACTGATTCCTTGGAAGATGTTAACAGTCCACACAGATCTTAGTGTAGGGGACTAAGATGAGGGGCATCAGACCCAGTGTTTTAGCCAACAGATGACATGAGTAACTGCTTGAAGACAGGCTCCAGATTTTTAAAAAGTCTAGAAATGTGAACACTATGGAGTCTGATCTGGAGACAGCCTGACACAGTTTTGCACTGTTTCATTCATCTTCATTCCCATTTCATACCTTGAGTATACTTTTGAACTACATTACACTTCATCTGGAGAAGTATAATAACATAGCATGTCATGAGTTACAGAAACAAAGATCTGAAAATGCACATACTTTCTATAGGAGGTTTTGGTCCACTCACTAAGGCTTCCGTGATCTGGGAGGCAACGGAGCTGTCAAAACCAGAGTTGGAAGAATCTGGGTCAGGATCGCTGAGAATGCTGGGGAAGCTGGCCTTGCTCTGTGTTGGCAACTCGGACTGACGTTCTGAAAGAAGGCCAGTCCATAATGTTAAAGCATAAAATTGAAACAGAGATGCCTGGAATGCTAAAAGTAGTGAGAAACAAGCAGCTTTAGAGAAGAACTAGCTTAAAAAAAGAAAACACCACCACCACAGATAACATCAACCTGAAATTTAGTATTGTGTCAGGCAGCTAGTACTCAGAGTGCCAGCTGACAGGCAAGGGACAGAGGTATGCAGCAAGGATAGAGAAGAAATAGAAATGAATCTGAAACGTAGTCTTGGATTTAGAAAAGGTAAGTAACTGATGTAATCTGCGTCTAAAAGCACATTAGTAGGTTCACATGGTACTCCTGAAAGAGTTCACATGCTATATCTAGTTTTGCAATCAGTTCTTAGAGCTGGGAAGTAAAAAATCTACACAGATACCATTTACAGACTCTGCAACAGTAACGGTCATACTAGACCTGAAGTCAGCTATTCAAATTTATCCAATACATTTCAGTGGCATTGCGTAAGCTACTTTTGCATTTGCTGTCAGGCTATAGTATTCGCTTGCGTGGAAAAAGATGGAGGTTAATTGTTCCGTGATTCTACATACATCGTCATTAAAGCAAACCTGTCAGAGCTGAAAGTGTCCCTTGAAAGGCCAAACTACAGAACATAAACAAGTTACATAAAAATACTAAGGTTAGTATATACAGCTGCAGACCTGAAGAAACTGGCCAGAAAGGAACTATGGGGCTCAATACTCCCATTGTCAGATTTCTAGGTGTTGCTCTGTCACAATCTATCACTCTTCTGTATCCAAAGACTTAATGGCTGATCTTCTATATTCTCTGTACTATTTTGAGAGATCATGTTTTCCATCGCTTTGGAAAAAAAACCCCCAACAGACAAAAACCAGAAAAACCCCACTACGGAACGCCACCTGACACTCCTTCCCCCACACCCTTAACAGACAACATTATGCAGCAGATTAAGCCTTAAGTAATCTGAAGTCCAAAATTGTTGGTACCACACAAGGAATCCCTTGATAGAGTTCCACATGAAACTAAATACCACTCCTTTTCCTGACTAATTAAGCGTAGTGCTGTCAGATTTAGTGTCCTGTCCCTATCACTTCTAAGCAAAGTGTGCTTGCTCCTTTTCGTGTAACCACATTGACCCTTCCCAGCTTCCCATGCACACGAACTATTTCATATGACACCAATCAAATCCACAAGAGATGCTGGAACTGTGAGTGACAAAAGGATAATCAAAACAAAGCGTCGCCCATTGCTAATTTCTTTTTTGGCTTTCTGTCCTACTTTATCCTATTATTTCAGATCATGCAAACATTTGCATATATGCTCACTGAAACAGCACAGCAGGGTATGTTTTTCTGTTAAAGGTAACAACTAGCATACTTTTCAGTTATTTGCAAAGAAACAATTTTAAAGCTAAAGTCCAAATGAGCTGGTTCATAAAACATGTCTTCTACTTTATAAACTGTTTCAAACTCCACCTTGAGAGTATTTTCAATTAGCCGCTCAACACAAGGGTTGATTTAACAAATTAAGTTCAGGGGAGGGGGGGGAAGGGGGAAGATATTGGGCATCTTTATTCAGTCTTTTCATTTACAGTCTGGAACTGAAATCCATCAGTCAGTAAAAGTAATGCACTGATTTGTTTGTATTCTCATAATCTCAAATGATTCGTCATGCTTAATTAGAAATAGAAAAGCTTAAGATACAGTCCTTCAATTCACTGATTTTAGAAGCATGCATGAGCCCTTAGTTGTATGCATTGAAGCTCAAAAGCTCACCCTCACTGCTTCAAGAATTAGGGCTGGATCAACAGTTTCAGCTAAGCAGAAGCACAAATTAGGATATAGTAATTTAACAGGAAAGAATACAGCATCTTGAACTAAGACATTTAAATTTACCAAAAAAAAAAAAAAAAAAATCAATTTGAAAACAATCACTTAGGTTCTGTTATGGAGCTTTTTTTTTTTTTTCTTTTTAACAGGTAAAGAGAAACTTTCTTTGATTCTTAAAGGAAAGGTCTACAATGCATTACAAACTTAACTTTAATAGAGGCCAATTACTCTTAGATCAAATAAGAGTTACCAGACAAACAGTTAGGAGCATTTTGGCAGAAGACCCATCCCTGCAACTAGGAGAAAATTACATTTTTGATACAATAACACACCAGACCAAGAAAACCAAGTTATAGGGAGAGACTGAAGCTTGAATAAACTTTCTGTAGACCAAAGGGAGAAGAGAACAAAGCAAGTTTTAATACTCATTCCCAAGATGCTCTATTTTAACATTCTACTTTTTTTGGGAGAGGGGGGCAGGCGCCTACAAACAAGCAAGAAAACCAAAACTAGAAAAACCACCATACAGCTGGAAGTGAATTGTCACAAAGAACTCAAGTTCAGAAGACAAGCCAAGTATTTTTTCCTCCCTTTACAAAAAAGAAAAGGATTGGGATAGATATACTGATTAAAAAAATTTAATGCTTTCTAAATTATTTAAGTTGATTTTGCAGGTATATCCTAAAGCAAGTCAAAACCATCCTGCTCTAAATAGCCCTGAATTTGTCTTGGAGACTGCAATTTTGAAAGGCCACCAAGTCTTACAGCTGTTACGTTCTATGAAATGTGGGGGGAAAGGGTGTAAGTACAGCACTGCAAACGTTGCCTCTAAGCACTATCATCCTGCACCAGCTTTATCCTGCATATTGAATCATCAGGAGAAATATACTGAAGACTTGTGAAGAACTCACAGACTTTCCAAAACACGACAAACAGACAGTCAAGAAGCATCACAATATTAAAATCAGCAACAGATTTATCTTCTAAGGAAGTGAACAGAAAGCAGACATTTATTCTAGGGAGCTACAGCAAGAAGCCCGGGAAAGACAGCATAAAGCTTTTTCTGATGCAGCTTGTTTTGTTACGTAACTCCTACAACTGCTCGTATGCAATTAATTATGCATGTTTACTGGATTATGTAAATAATGATACAAGCACATCTTACAGGGCTTAATTTTGCAAAGCACCATTAATGACTTTGTACTGTACTTTAAGCCATCAGTGTCTTCTATTTTAAAAAAAGGTCAAATTAAAATGCGTGGCCTAGAGTACCCACCAATACAACTACAGTTTTGAGGTTCTCTACATGTTTCGTTTTTAATGAGAACAAACTGTTCAGAAGGCAAACACAGTACCAACTAGAAAACAAATAAAAACAAATGAAAAAAACTCCTGGCTTCTTAAAGGCATCACATATCTCTTGTACTGAAGATCACAAGTTACCTGAAATTTCACAAAATCTGAATTCATTAAAGTATTCTAGAAAACACAGACAGGACGAACAGAAGAACCAGAAGGGTTCGTCTCATCTGTGACGGTATGTTAGGGTATTCAATTTGCATTTTCAAAAGATCCCACAGTCTGAAAATAGTAGGTAAGGAGGACACCAGAGGACATTTGTACACTGTGAACAAGGGACAGTATACCACAGCATAACAAGCCAGTGTCAGATTCTACAGAAAAAAAACGACCATACCAAGATACAACTGCAGGAGAGAGAAAGCCTGGTTTGTGCCTGACCTCAGAGCAATAAACCACGTTGTACAGATACAGAAGTGAGATGGTCAGTTTTCAAGCAAGCAGGTCCATTTGCACATACCTAGGAAAAAACCACTATTTTTTGGTGTTCAAACTGGTTCCTTGTTCCCAACAATATTTTCTATTTCAGTTTAGCTCCAGATGTGACTCATCAGTCAACGTGATCAGAACAATTATGTTCCTGCTCCTTTTCTCCTGTCAAAGGATAAGCATCACATTGCTTTTCTTTTCAATCTCGTAAAAGCGGACCACCTTCCCACTCTTGAGCTAACGCTGTAAAATCCAACTTTCCTTTATAAAACTGAAGATACAATTATAATAGCTAGTTTGCCAGGTACAGCTGAAGTACCAGTACGTGACAGCATGACAGTTAGGCTTGTTCTCTCACACTAGAAATACTGCAAAGAGTGAAAAGGGATAAAAATACATTAAAAAAAAAATCACCCCCCCTGCCAAAGCTTTAGATTAAAATCTTCCTACACTTGCAAAATGTTTTTGTGTTTAAAGCAGTGATATATATGCTTATAAAGTTCCTTGTAAAGTAGGATAAAACAGTTAAGACGTAATCACTGCTTGAAGTTTCTCTATTGGCTTGAACACAGGCTTGAAGACCCTAAAGCCTAGTTCAACTTTTTTCATATGCAGGATAGACGAGAATGTTTCTCAGGTAACTCATAGCCACATTACAATTAGCATTTCCATTTAGAAGTGAACCACAGCCACACATCTTCCTTACCTGCTAACGCCAGCTGAAGCCCACTTATATCCACTGACTGGGCCATGTTCCCCACGTCCATTGAAGCGATCTGCCGAGGAGTCTTCTTGAACAGTTCTCTAGGGGGGGCCAACATTAGTTGAGAAAGAAAGAATTTTTCTGGAGGAGTTATGGGAGGTAAGAAGCCTGTAGAGACAGAGTGGAAAACAATCCCTGAGTTTTTAAGGCGGTAGCATTAATAGTTCCCATACGCTTCACGCAGAACAAGCAAAACTAGAACACAAACTAATGTGCTACATATGGCAAGATCAGTGGAGCTGAAGAGTCTTTGTGAGTACATACAAAACTGTTACCTACTCAGCTCCTAAAGGGATGTAAAAAGTGTTATACTGATCAGTGTCATGCATCTCACCATGCAGCATCTGATGCCAAGTCAGTCACAACGGTTTCTTTACATGCTTTCCACTTTAGACAAGTAGTGAGCGGTTAAATATGACCAGACATTGCAATTCACACTGTAAGTTATAAAAGCAACTTTTTAGAAACTGATTTACCCATCGCTGCCACACTTGTGCTTACTGAAGTGGGAAAAAGCGTTTCACTCTCATGTATTTCTTTAAGAGGTTTGTTTCACAGCTTCAAAGCTGTCAAAAGGCTCCTATTATCTCCAGGTTTGTCACGGCTTTCTCCCCAAAATCCCCTGTTACGGCCCAACCCAGCGGCCTATCTGACACCAAGCCCAGAGACGCTCGCCATGAAAATTTCCCACCGCTTTTCCCAAATGCGGAAAACGAACGGGACCGGCGGGAAGCCGAGCTCGGGCAGCGATAACGAAGCGGCACCTCCGCCCGGTGCTGTCCCGCCGGGAGGGCGGGCTCCTCTGTCCTCCCCCCCGGGACGTACCTGAGAGCGGCGTCCGCTCCGCCTCGTCGCCGCCGCGCTCGGGAGCGGGGTTGAGGAGGTGGGCGAAGACGGCGGCGAAGGGGTTGGCGGCGAGGGGCTCGGTGCGGTACATCTCCCAGAGGAGGTAGAGGGCGGTGAGG